GTCAGGGGGGCAGCAGGTCCAGAGCGGCCGGCGCTCCCCTTCCCTGACCCGCGCCCTATTCCAGTGGAGCCGGAGCCCGAGCGCGGGCGCGCCCCCAACCCGCCCTCACCATGGTAAGGTCGGAGCCAGGCCCCGAACTCCCGGTCTGGTCCTCGCTCGCCCCATCTCCCTGCCTGCCGGCCTGGTGCTGGGGCCAGAGGAGCCCCGCCCCGGGGGTCGGGAACCCGATGCTTCCCTCCGGGCCCCGGCAGCAAGCAGTGTGGCCCTTCCCGCCCTGTGCCGGGCCTGCTGGACTCCGAGCGAGCGGGCCCCGGTCCTCTGCCGTCGTGCCCACTGCCCACCCCCAGCCAGCGGGGTTTCCCACGGCTGCGCCCGGCGCCTGGGACCCACGCGTGTTGTCGCCCTGCTGGAACGCCGTGGTGCTCGCTGCCGTCCGCGGCCGGATGTCCAGCCGGTACCCTGGGCGTTTGGTCTCGGCGGGCTGGGCCTGTCTCAACACCTTCTGGTCCTGAAATCAGCGCGTCTCCCACCTCCGGGGCTGATAGGCCGGTGGACTCGAAATCCACATTTCAGGACTTTTCCCTTTTGTTTGTTCAAGGGAGAGATGGAGACGTAGAAAGGGAAGGGGGACAGCTAACGTTAATTATGGGACTCCAGTGCCCTGAAACCTTCCACTAGGGAACTTACGTGTGTCTGAGCGTTTGCTGGGTGGGGGGCACAGGGAAAATGAGTGCGTTAATAGCGCAGGGTTTCTGCCTGCAAGGAACTTCATGGTAGGGTGAAGTAAAACGTGTACGCGGTATATACAGTAGTATGCAGACTCCCGGGAGGCCGAGTGAGAGGGGTGGGTTATACCCTGGGTCTGTTACTTTGTGCCTTCAGAAGGATATTTTTGGTGTACTCATCTTTTGTAGAGATGGGAAAGGTTAATGTGGATGAGCATGGGAGAAAATTCAGAACTGCTGACTCCACTTGCCTTCTCAGGATGATTAGTGGATATTCACAGAGTAGAAGATATTCTTTAGTTCCAAATGTGTTAGTGATTTTTTTTTTTTTTAGTATATACCTTTTAATCGTTTAAAGAATGTTTTGTTCTTTTTGTTTTTGTTTTGTCAATAGACAGTTTGATTTAAAAGCTCTTCCTACACACCTTAGAGGTGACAGAATGTAGTTTGGTACTGATCTCTTACTAAGTACTATTTGATAGCCTTTTAGACAGGAACTTAGGTAGTCCTTGGACTTTAAATCACTGAAAGTGCCTTTTTTTGTCTTTTGTTTTTGCTGTGGGGTGCATGGACTTGACAGAGAGAAAGGGGTTGGGGAGAGTGAGAAATCACCCCTCAGTGGAATGACTGGCCACTCCACAGTCTCTTCTCTTTCTCTTGGGATTTTGGGCACACTTGCACCCAGCATAATTTTCAAGCTGCCAAGTCTGGGACTTAAACAGTAGTCAATCATATGAGAGTCCAGCTGCTTTAACCTGCACACTACCTTCTGCCCAAAGTTTTTAAAAATTTTCAGCCTTGGGAACCAGCAGTTAGCGTAATGGCTATGTCGCTGGACTCCCATGTAGTCGACCGCGGTCCGTGTCCCGGACCCGGTGGCTTAAAACTCACGCCGGGCGCGTGTGCGTGCATGCCCAAGATCCCGAGAGGAGAATGGAGGAGAAGGGATTGCGGCGTGACCATCCCCCCTGGTGGGTGATTTCTCGCTTTCTGTCTCTGTGTCTCTCTCTGTCTGTCTGGCGAGCGCACGCGCCCTACAGTGAAAATCTCTCTCAAAAAAGAAATTTTTTTTCAGCTTTAAATGTATAGATTGCATCAAGCAAATCTGCCTCCAAAAACTATTGTTTTGAACATAAAATTTCCAAAAATTAACTTTTTCAGTTGCATTAGAAGGCTCAGCATTTGATTTTCTTTTTTTTTTTTTTTTTTTTGGAGAATTTTTTTTTAAAGGGAACAGGCGCCCCCCAAAAAGACG